AGATAAGGACTATTTCTCATTCTGGATGTGTTGCCCAAGTCCTGTTGTTCTTCTTTTTCGTGAGCTGTGGTGTTTCCCTCCTTACTGTCATGGCCTATGATCGGTATGTTGCCATTTTTAATCCTTTACAATATGAAATGATAATGGACAGGAAGGCCTGCACCAAAATGGTTGGCAGTGTATGGACTGCCAGCCTTCTCAATGCTTCATTACAGACTATTGTCACTTTTATTACTCCTTTCTGCTCTAATATTATCAACCAGTTCTTCTGTGAAATCCCATATTTACTTAAGATTGCCTGCTCTGATTTATATGTAACTGAAATTGGAGTTCTAATCTTCGGGGCTACATTATCAATTGGTTGTTTTGCCTTTGTCGTTGTCACTTATGTGCATGTCTTCTCTGCTGTACTGCAAATTCCTTCTGTTCAAGGAAGGAAAAAGGCCTTCTCTACTTGCTTACCACATCTGGTTGTTTTCTCCATATTTTTGTTTACTTCTTGTTTTGCTTATCTAAAGCCTACAGCTGACAGTTCATCACATTCTGACTTCCTTATAACAATAACCTATTCCATTATTCCACCTATGCTGAATCCATTAATCTACAGCATGAGAAACAAAGACATCAAAGTTGCTCTTTCAAGACTTTTTGGTCAGAGGTTATTGTTTTTTTAAGGAGAATGAACTGTACATCTACCAATTTTTGAATTTCGACAGGAAAGTAAGAAAGCAGGCATAGGATATAAATACTTATGTAACCATCTCCCACTTTCTAATACATTACCTTAAATTGGAAAGTTTATTTTATTCAATCATGAGATTGGACTCATCTCTGTTAAGATTGAGGTTGTTATGGTGCACTGAGCCATCTCTGACCCTTTGTGAGTATGGGGACATATCTGTGCAATTTTCTTGCCAACATTTTAAGAAGTGGCTCAGAGAGAATGTTTGCTGCAAGGACACCCAGCTGGGTAGGGCAGGACCAAGACAAATTTTCTCTCAATCCTTTGAGTTAAATGCTAGACCATACTGGTTCTTTTACAATAATACTTAGATAAAAATGTGTATCTTTTGCCTGATGTTTCAGCTTCAGAGATAATTATCACAACAGAAGTGCTGAGAAAACAGCTAACTAACAGATATAAAATTAGAATTAACTTACATGGAATATTGAATTGAATTGAACTTTTGTATTTCCAATATAGATACAGTTCAGAAAAATCTGTAAACAATGTATTTATTAGGAGATAGCATTATTAAATGTATTTGAAAGCAAATAATACTGTTTGCTTTAGGGAAATTTATTGCAAATTGTATTTAAAAATTCCATATGAGAAATGTTTAAAATGCATATGAATACTGATGTGGAGTTGCTAATAAATCTTAAAGCTATAGCTGGACAAATGAGAAACTTATTAAACACGGACTGTTTACCATCCCTCTCTATTGAGTTTTTAATTCTTTGCATTTTAAAATATTTATTTATATATATGCTTCCTCAATCACCACAGGAACTCTAGGTAGCTTACATAGTACGGTCAAAACAACCCTTAATAATGATTGTATAAAATATCTCTATGTATCAGTTATAAAGAAGGAAGTTTATGAATCAAGATAGCTACCACTTTTGAGATATCAAATAAACCAGTCCAACTCACTCTTTATGCAAAAAGTTTATTTTCTTCTATTAAAGGAGTCTCTGTAAAAAAAAAAAAAAAAAGCAAATTTGGCTTAAACATGATTTTATTAGTTTACTTATCTGCAGTATTCCTTGCTTGTTCAAGAAAAGATGGTTAAAGTAAATGTGGAGTTTTCCAATGACATCTGTACCTGTTCCAAGTCATTAATAGGAATGACACATTAAACCACTTCAGCTGATCTTCTGCTGGTCTCCATTAGGTTTTTAATTATGTTTGGTGATTACTCCTCTATTTAATATTCCAAGTAAATTTGGTACAGTCACTGTAATGAGAATTTGGAAACAACTTATAACCAAGATTTCAAACACCAAGTGGGGTTAGGACAAGGGTAAAGAGATTGTGTAGACATTTGTATTAATTAGCTGGAGTGGTTTAATATGTCATTCAATTATTTTATGATATGTAAATGTAGCGTCAGGCCGTCTTTTCCTACAATTGTGATGCATGAATGGTAGTTCATCTTCCCAAATAAGTAAACATGAATGCATCACATTTCTAAGTAAACATGACCTCAGGACTCATTCAAACATCACAAAATGGCTCATTAAAAAAAAAAATTCTAAAGGGAAATATAGAAAATTTGGTGCAGTAATATCTAACTGGTTCTTTATCCTTAGCATCCAAACACTTGAGATGAAAACAAGGTCCAAGTCAAACATGTTCTCCATATGCATTTCAGTAAAAGCATGGCAAGAAGATCACAATGGTTAAACACACTTATTGCATTGTGTCTGTCTCCTTGTCTGTCACTCTAATTTTATTCCTTTTTTAAAAAATACAGAGAAATCAATATACAAAAAGAGAATTTAAAAAAGTGATAATATACATACATCCAACAAATTAATTATTTATTAAGATATAATACCGAACCAGATAAAATAAAAATGAAAAAAACAAGGAAGCAAACAATCCATCAAGAATTAATTTACCAAGTTGATGTAAGTCACTTAAATATACCACATACTCATTTAATGATATAACAAATTACACATACTTTCTCTGTTTTTTAAAGTATTATGACATCTATGCAAAAGTGAAATATATTCTGTAACTTTTTTTTTAATTAATTAAAGAAAAGACTTTTCCAAAATGGAGAGGTTAGACCTTTTTTTGTGGCATATGTATTGAGGGAAGCTGGATTGGAAGAAAGGGAGTATAGCTTTAAAATTGTAGGAAAAAGCATCAATAACCTGCCCTATGCTGATGACACTTCTCTGATAGCTGAAAATGCAGATTTTCAGCCTCTTGTAATGAAAGTCAAGGAGCACAATAAAAAAAAGAAAAAAGAAAAAGAAAAACAACTATCCAGGACAATGATTAAATATAAAGAATAACAAACCAATGGCAACATGTACAGTAGCCAGCTTTAGAACTGACAATGAAGACACTGAAATGGTAGATAGTTGATGCTAAAAGGCAGAAGCTATCAACAGTACAGGAACCAGAAATCAAGATATATTCATAAACTAGGACTTGGTAGGGTAGCAACGAAGGCCTTGAAAAAGATATTTAGAAGCTGGGATGTGCCTACACCTGTGAAAATCAGAAATTTACAGACAATGATTTTTCCTATGAACTTCATGTAAGCAAATGTTGGACTTTGGAAGAAGCAGAATAGAAGGAATATTGGCATTTTCTCACTTTTGTGTTGGAGAAGACTTCTGAGAATACCACAGACAGCCAAGAAAACAAACAAATGAATGATTGAAAAATCAGGCTGAGAAAAAACAACCATATTATGTCTCAGATTATCATATTAGGGAGACATTATGTGAAGACATAACTCTTTGGAAAAGTAATCAATCAATCACTTAGTAAATAAACGAATCAAAACTTTTGTTGGAGAACTAGGCATATGTTTATTCTTCAACTGAATCTATAGGCCATAATATAAAATAATCATTTTATACTCACGAAGAGTGGCATGGCAAAACAATTGCCTGACATTTTGTAGTAGAAAGCACAAACTCTGTAAATCTTCTCTTGCAAAATGTCACTTCACTTACAAGCAAAAGATATTTCCACTGAAGTTGCCAGATCAACCTTTCTATGGTGACCCCCACCTATCCAAAAAATGGCTAGGTATAGCTCCTATGCAGTAAAAGTTTAGCAACACCGAATTTTCAGGATAATATAGCAGAGTTGTTTGAATAGGACTAGCAAATATTGTTAGGGATTAGTTATACCACAACGAACTCAGAATACATCCTCTGTCATTATTTAAAGAACAATCCATAGCATCTTATTTCTAATAACATCTATATAGCATTCTCAACAAAGAGCAATTTTTTTGGTCTGAGTTGAGGCATTTTAGATTTGCATAACATGAAAATTGATAGTGTCATATTTAGTGTTCAACAATGCTGATATACCCTTTTCCATCATTGAGCCCAAAAAATGCTTCCTCCCCTCCATTACAGTAATACAGAATCTAGAGCAGTGATCTCAAAGTGGGTGATACCACCTCCTGGAGGGCATTTGAATAATTCAGAGGGGCATTAGTTTACACATAATTTATCCAACAAATTGTTTGCAAAGAAATAATAAATATGCAATCAATCATTTTTAATATTTTTTGAAACAATTTATACACAAGCATTCTCTTTTTCCTTTTAAGGAACTCAAGGTGCACCATCAATAGAGTTTTATATTATTTGTAGTATATAGTCGATTGTTAAAACTTGAGGGCAATTTTGTGTGTTGGTGTGTGGGTGTGTGCACGTCCATGTGTGCTTTCAAGTAAATCTTGACACCTCGCGACTGCCAGACTACTCCCTGCAGTTTTCTTGGCTACATTTTTGGAAGTGGTTTGCCTTTGCCTTCTCCTTAGGGATGAGAGAGAGTGACTGGCCCAAAGCCACTCACCTAATTTCATGCCTAAAGCAAAATTAGAACTCCCAGTTTCCAGCCTGTTGCCTTAACCACCATACCAAATTGTCTCTCAAAACTTGAGATAGGTGACTTTTTATGAAAAGATACACTCTTTTCAATCCAATGGATTTAGGTGAAAAATAGATAATCACCACAAGCTACAGTCTCTGCAGTTGATTTAAAACTAGCAGAAAACCCAGCTCAGTTGTTTCCTTTAATGTAACCTTGACTCTTTAAAAATAACTTGGCAATGTCCATCCAAATTCAGCATATTCCAACTTCTTGTATTGAACAGCTTGCAGTTATGTAGATTTATCTAAAACTGGTAAACTGAAAATTCATGTCAGTGATGTAGGAGGGAAAGATATTTAAACATACGAAAACATTTTTCCACATAAAGTTCAATACAAAAGCAGGGATATATTTATGGTTTTCATTTGGCACAGTTCCATTAAGAAATATTTTACTTTAATAGACTAGTGAAAAAGGAGAAAAAGAAAGAGTAAACATTTTTCTTGTCAATGCTTTGATTTTGTTTTATTACCATTTTTTTCCACCAAAACAAAACCAATCCCCAAAATCACCAAAGAAATGTTCTCTTAAGCTGTCCTCCAGTCCAAGTGATCCCCAGTCTAACTCAATGTTTCTGTCAACTTAACAGCTAATGTAAATTTTGCTGGGGGAATGGGGGAGACTTTTTATTAATCAGCTTTTTGAACTTCACTGAAAGCAAAGTTGAAGATTTCATCCAAATAGCCCATTTAGCTGAAAAGAGCTAAAATAATGTTTAGAAAGAAGCTAGTTCAAATAGTTCTATTTTATTTCAAAATGGACAGATTTCGATGGAATAGATAATTATCATTTAACTGTTTGCATTTTAATTATACTACTGCTGCAGGTTACAAATTATAGAGTAATCTTATCCGTTATTTGTAGAAAAAAGAAAGAAAATACAAATATCCTGCCACCCTAATTTAATTTGGTGAGCGAGAAGACAAGTATTACAGGACACCAAATGTGGAGCAGTGTTAAAGAGATTGAATTAGACTTGGGAAGACTTTGCCCCCAAGCATGGAGCCGAGGGCATGGGACAAAGCCCATCTTCTGGCTGTGTGGATAATAGGTTGGATGATGCCCGCCTGCAATGTCTTTTATTTTTATTTTTTTGTATATTGTGTATTTTATGTGTTTTATTTTATTTTATTTTATTTGCTGCCTAAAGTCATGTACAAGTGAAATGGGTAGCTAT